CTGTCTCTCTCTGTCTCAAAAATAAATAAACGTTGAAAAAAAAATTTTTTTAATAAAAATAAAAATAAAATTGCATTAGAATGTGGCTAGAGCATACACCCGTTTCCTTTTGCATCAGGCTCAGATATGGCTTGAAAACACACTGCCAGGTTCTGCCTTGACTTAAAAGCATGATATGGGGTGCCTGGGTGGCGCAGTCGGTTGAGCGTCCGACTTCAGCCAGGTCACGATCTCGCGGTCCGTGAGTTCGAGCCCCGCGTCGGGCTCTGGGCTGATGGCTCAGAGCCTGGAGCCTGTTTCCGATTCTGTGTCTCCCTCTCTCTACCCCTCCCCCGTTCATGCTCTCTCTCTGTTCTAAAAATAAGTAAACGTTGAAAAAAAAATTAAAAAAAAAAAATAAAGCATGATATGAGGGCACCTGGGTGGCTCAGTGGGTTAAGCCACCGACTTCGGCTCAGGTCATGATCCCCCAGTTCATAGGTACAAGCCCCAGGCCGGGCTCTGGGCTGACAGCTCGGAGCCTGGAGCCTGCTTCGGATTCTGTGTCTCCCTCTCTCTCTGCCCCTCCCCCGTTCATGCTCTGTCTCTCTCTGTCTCAAAAATAAATAAAGGTTAAAAAATTTTAAAAAAAAAATACATTAAAAAAAAAAAGAAAGATATTACATAGACCTATTATGAGGATCACCGCGGGCGGTCGGCACCTCCCCTAAATGTCCTGGGCAAGGCTAGGGCCCTACTCGCCCCATCCTAACTAATCTGGGGCCCCTGGGACTCAGGGTTCACTGTCATTACCATCCCCCTTTTGGCCTTCCTGGAGCCCCGAGGCCACAGGTGCAGCCACCCCCTCCCCCCCCACACACACACCCATCCAAGTACCGGTAGCCACCAGCTCCAGCCGGTCGCTGGGGGGAGACCAGCGGGTCCCGTTCTGGTAGGAACAGCGGTAGCACCCGGCGAAACTTTGCTTCATGGCCGGGATGGAGAGGACGGCCTGATCCTCATACTTCCCAGACCTCAGCTTCTCCAAGCGGTACAGGTCCACACCCGGAGGCCCCTGGCATTGGATGGTCACCGGCTTCTCCAGCGGCACTAGAGAGCTAGGCAGGGCACGGAGGGAGGGCTTGGGCAGAGAGACTGGAAGGGAAGGGGAGCCTGGTGGAGGGCGCCTTCCAAACAGACCCCTCCTCCCGGGGCCCTCACCCTGCCCGCCCGCCCCTCCCCCGTGCAGGCTGAACCCAGATGGATCCGGGACTCACCCTGCCGAGTTTGCACGACCTGCCCCAGACACAGCCCTGAGCAGAGAAGAAAAGGACTAAACGCTAGGACCTCGAAAAGCCCACACTCACACCTGCAGAGCAGGTGGTAAGACATTTGCATGCATTAATTTTCTTTTGTCCTCATTTTTTTTTTTTTTTGAGGACACACACACACACACATAATTTAAGGGCTGGAAGAAGCCGACCATAAAACGCTGCATATTGTAGGGTTCCATATACCTGAAGCGTGCTGAATAAGTAAATCTGCCCAGACAGAGAAAGTAGATGCATGGTTGCCAGGGGCTGGGGGTGGGGGAATCGAAAGGGGATTATCACGGACGTTTCCTTTGAGAGTGCTGACAACGTCTGGCAACAAGGTAGAGGTGGCGGTGGAGGTTGTATACATTGTGAATGTAGTAAATGTTATTAATGATACATTTTATGCTAAGTTTGTTATTTTACCACAATCCTTATATTTTTAGTGTTTTTATTATTTATTTTTGAGAGAGAGTGTGAAGGAGAAGAGGGGCAGAGAGAGAGGGAGACACAGAATCCAAAGCAGGCTCCAGGCTCCGAGCTGTCAGCCCGGAGCCTGACGCAGGGCTCAAACTCACGAGCTGGGAGATCATGACCTGAACCAAAGTCAGACACTCAACCGACTGAGCCACCCAGGCTCTCCAACCACAATTTTTAAAAAGCCAACCAGAGATTCCTTGCCCTGCTCCTAATGCACACACTTTTGGTAACCATAAAGAGAATTACCTTCTCTCTGAAAAGGGGGCTGTGTGCAGGGCATATAACATTGTATAAATTGAAGGGGTGTGTGTGTGTGTATGTGTGTGTTGATTTGATACATTTATATATCACAAAATGATTACCTCCACATTGTTAGCTAACACCTCCATCATGTCACATAATTACCATTTCTCTTTTTTTGTGGTGAGAAACCTTAGGATTTTCTGCAACACAGCATCATTGGCTTTATCACCATGCTGTGCATTAGATACAGATGGGGTCTGTTGCATTATATCTTGTGAAGAGATCTGGAGGTGTGTTAATCATGGATTCCCCACTGTTTTAACCCATATCCCGGGGGGGGGGGGGGGCACCGGGGGGGCTCAGTCATTTGAGTGCCCGACTGTACTGACAGAGCAGAGCCTGCTTGGGATTTTCTCTCTCCATCTCTCTCTGCCCCTCTCCCGTTCATGCTGTGTGTCTCTCTCTCAAGATAAATAAGTAAACTTTTAAGTATAATTGCATTATTGTGAGTGTACAAATATTATTCATGCCTGAGGATTGTAGTTATTGGCCTTGTATATTTTTCCTAGAGCCACTATTTGCCTGGCTTATGTCCATCCTCATAGTTTTCCTTGACCCTAATGTCTGATTCTCTTTTTTTTTAATTTTTTTAATGTTTATTTATTTTTGAGACAGAGAGAGACAGAGCATGAACAGGGGAGGGTCAGAGAGAGGGAGACACAGAATCGGAAACAGGCTCCAGGCTCTGAGCTGTCAGCACAGAGCCCGACGCGGGGCTCGAACTCACGCGAGATCACGCGAGACCTCGCGAGATCATGACCTGAGCCGAAGTCGGGCGCTCAACCGACTGCGCCACCCAGGCGCCCCATGAATTGTTTTATTTTATTTTTTTTTTTAATTTTTTTTCAACATTTATTTATTTTTTGGGGGACAGAGAGAGACAGAGCATGAACGGGGGAGGGGCAGAGAGAGAGGGAGACACAGAATCGGAAACAGGCTCCAGGCTCTGAGCGGTCAGCACAGAGCCCGACGGGCTCGAACCCACGGACCGCGAGATCATGACCTGAGCCGAAGTCGGCCGCTTAACCGACTGAGCCACCCAGGCGCCCCCCTAATGTCTGATTCTTTACACGGTTCCCAGTAGTCTCCCATGTAATTTTATACACCTGTCAACCTGCATAATCTACGAATTCCGCTTCCTCCCTCAGAGGCGCCTTTCCCCCATTTTCCTTCTACCTTCTCTACATTGAACAGCTTTTTTCTCTCAAGCTAAGACTCTTTTTTTTTTTTCCTTTAATCTTTTGGCTGAGTTGGTAGCATTTCCTGTTTTAGTCTCACCAGTATTGCCAAGTTTAGCAAATGAAAACGTGGGACTCTCGCTTAAATGTGAATTTCAGAAAAACCGTGAATATTTTTTTTATAGTGTGACCCATGAGATGCCTAGGATATACGTAGGCTTAAAAAAAGTATTTGTTGTTCCTCTGAAATTAAATTTCCCTGAGATTTGCCATGTTTTGTCTGGTAACCCTTATCCTTGCGCGCGCACACACACACACACATGCGCACACACTCGAAGGGGGAGTAGTTATCGTTTTGATTATAAACATAAGGAAGCTGGGCAGAGAGGGGACACAGTGTCTCTCAGCTCACACAGATGGGAAATGGCTGAACCTAGATGATCCCTGACTCCAGGGCTCAGCGGATGACTGCTTATCTCCAGCCCCCCTCTGAGCCCCGGGTTCTGCTCCCTATTCCTATGCTGTACCCACATCTTTGTCCACTGCCCAAGACACAGGCCCCTCTCAGCCTCTCCATGGGTTTCCCTGCAACCTTCTAACGTGACTGGAGGTGTTCCAGGTGCCCTTCTGAGCGCTTCCTGTATGCACTCTGAATCACGGCAATCCTACCGGTTAGGGACCGCTGTTAGCCCCACTTTATAGATCAGCCTATAGAGACAGTCTCCTGTCCACTGTCCTGGACTGTAGATTCTAACACCAGCAGCATATTTTAGTGGTAAAGAGTGTGAACACAGCACCAGATTCTTTAGTTTATTCAAGTTCTAGATATGCGACCTTAAGCAAGTTCCTTAATCCCTCCGGGCCTCAGTGTTCTCCTCCATAAAATGGAGGTAATAATAGCCCCTACCTAGTCAGACTGCTGTGGGGAAGAGGTGAGTTAAATGCCTGTTTAAAAAAAACAAAGCAGCGGGACGCCTGGGTGGCGCAGTCGGTTAAGCGTCCGACTTCAGCCAGGTCACGATCTCGCGGTCCGTGAGTTCGAGCCCCGCGTCGGGCTCTGGGCTGATGGCTCGGAGCCTGGAGCCTGTTTCCGATTCTGTGTCTCCCTCTCTCTCTGCCCCTCCCCTGTTCATGCTCTGTCTCTCTCTGTCCCAAAAATAAATAAAAACGTTGAAAAAAAATTAAAAATAAAAAATAAATAAATAAAATAAAAAATAAAAAAACAAAGCAAAACAAAACACGGGGGCACCTGGGTGGCTCAGTCGGTTGGGTGCCCGACTTCAGCTCAGGTCATGATCTCACACTCCGTGAGTTCGAGCCCCGCGTCGGGCTCTGTGCTGACACCTCGGAGCCTGGAGCCTGCTTTGGATTCTGTCTCTCACCGTCTCTCTCTGCCCCTCCCCTGCTCATGCTCTGTCTCTCTCTGTGTCAAAAATAAATAAACTTTTAAACATTGAAAAAATTATAATAAATAAATAAATACAGCTGGTTCATGTAGGACAGCAGTGAAAGGCCAGTCTGCATTGGGTTTGAATGATCCTAAGGATTTTATGCTTTTAAGCAAGCACTACAGAGCTCCTGAAATAGAAGAATCTACCCGCACTGCACATTGAGATCTGCCTGCCATGGTGTCTGATAAGAATTGGAGTCGGTGGGGCGCCTGGGGGGCCCAGTCGGTTGAGCGTCCGACTTCGGCTCAGGTCATGATCTCGCGGTCTGTGAGTTCAAGCCCCACATCGGGCTCTGTGCTGACGGCTCAGAGCCTGGAGCCTCTTCAGATTCTGTGTCTTTCTCTCTCTCTCTCTGCCCTTCCCCCGCTCACACTCTCTGTTTCTCAAAAATAAATAAAAATTTTTAAAAAAGACTTGGAGACACCGGTGGATGAGGAAAACAGAATCTTAATCCATAGTCCACCTGAGATGTGCTAAGCTTCTGTAGTAAGCTTATAGCAGCGGCCGCGGTGAGAGGATAAGTGAGGTTACATCGGGATAGGGCAAAGGTAGCTGTTCTCTGTTAAGCAAAACTACTGAGCTATAACATATACCAGAGTAAAGATGAGATAGGTGAACATTCATAAAATTGTTAAGCTAACTGATTAAAAAAAAATTAGTCGAGGGGCACCTGGGTAGCTCATTTGTTTAAGCTTCTGACTTCGGCTCAGGTCATGATCTCGTGGTTCTTGGATTCCGTGCTTGCTTGCCCTCTCTCTCTCCCCCGTCCCCAGCTTGTGCTTTCTCTCTCTCTCAAAAATAAATAAACACACATTAAAAAAAAAAAAACCCATGGAATAACACCCAGCCCATAGTAAGTGTTACATGAGGGTGTGTTAACGAATGACTGACAGGCGGTTTGTGCTCATGGCGTTTTCTTATCCCCAGGACACAGCTGTTCCTTCCTGCTTGACCCCTTGGAGCCTCTGTCCTTTTAGCAAGAACGTTCTTCTGGAGAAATAGGAACCTATTCATCTTATAACTGGAAGTTTGTTCTCTGTCCATCTACCTCCTCATTCCCCCCCCCCCCACCCAACCCCCAGCAACCACTGGTCTACTCTCTGCCTTAGTGAGCTAGACTTTCTGGGGTGCCACATATATGTGAGATCATGCAGTGTTTTCTTTCTGCGCCTGGCTTATTTCGCTTAGCGTCGTGGCCTCGAGGTCCATCTGTGTTGTTGCGAATGGCAGGATTATTTCCTCCAGTGCTGCAGGGTTTGCTGACAGAATCTAGTCCTGATGTCACCAAGTCCATATTTTAAAAATTAATTAATTAATTAATTAATTAATTAATTTTTAAAACATGGTACATAAAGACAAAGTTAGAACCCCAAGCAGAAGACCCGTACCGTTCCCAACCGAGCCATGAAGAGAATATAACAGAGTAACAGACAAACACCACCTCCCCGGGGCCCTGCTTTCCCACCCAACAAAGGAAGGCGCCCTCATAGGTCCCCTGAATTGCCCTGAAATTCATTTCCGATCCAATTTTTCAAAACATTCTGAGTCTCATAGCCCACTGCCTGTCCCGCGGCATTTCCCAGAACAGCCCTCAGGACTCACCGAGGCCGAGAAGGGCAGACAGGGACGGGGTCATGGTCCTTCAGCCCGTCCAGAGCTCTGTAGCCCAGGAGGGACGCTGCAGGGAGTGGGAGCAGAGACACAGGATGTGGTGAGGATCCAGAACCCTCTCTTCCCTTCCCCCAGCAGCCTGGCCTTTCCTAATTGCGGCTCATCAAGCTGGAGCCGTCCCCTCCGTAGCGTGACTTGCTCACAAGCTCGCAGAAGCTCGTTTATCTTCTCCCACCAGCCCATGGTTGTACTGTGTCTGCCTCCTGAGGCACTGAGGTGGAATGCTAGCTGAAGGATCTCCTTCACGGGATGGTTTCATGGAGCTTTCCGTTGGACATTTGAGATTATACCCGGCGGTAAGAGGTTTTCACGAAGGAATAGCAGCATGTTTAGCATGCCCCTAAGCCTCGATGAGGCAAAGAGCTTGGCATTTTCGCGTAACCAGGACGTGAACAGTGTGGCTGGAATCGAGAGTGCAAAATGCCGAGGCTGATGAGTTTATCATAGAGGTTATACAGGGTGTCCCAACTTCGGTGCTATTGACATTTGGACCAGGTGATTGTCGATGTAGGGACAGGCTGTCCTGTGCTTCTGGGAGGTTCAGCAGTATCCCTGGCCTCCATCCACTAGATATCACCAGCACAACACCCTCTCCAGTTGTGACAACCTGCAAATATCTAGACATTGCCACCTGTCCCTTGGAGGACAAATTCACGTCCGGTCGAGAACCACTGGGTTAGATCATTCAGGGACTCCAAAGGCAAGATAAACTTAGGTGCACAGGGCACCCGGGTGGCTCAGTCGGTTGAGCATCCAACTTTGGCTCAGGTCATGATCTCATGGTTCATGGGTTCAAGCCCCGCGTTGGGCTCTGCGCTGACAGCCTGGAGCCTGGAGGCTGCTTCAGATTCTGTGCTTCCTCTCTCTCTGCCCCTCCCCCACTTGTACTCTCTCTCTGTCTCTCTCTTAAAAATAAACAAACATTAAAAAATAAATAAATAAGGGCACCAGGGTGGCTCAATTGGTTAAGTGTCCGACCTCAGCTCAGGTCATGATTTCACAGCTCGTGGGGTCAAGCCCCATGTCAGGCTCTGTGCTGACAGCTTCGGATTCTGTGTCTCCCTGTCTCACTCTGCCCCTCCCCACTCATGCTCTGTCTCTTTATCAAGAATAAACAAAAAAATTTTTTTTATTTAAAAAAAAATTTTTAATGTTTATTTTTGAGACAGAGAGAGACAGCATGAATGGGGGAGGGGCAGAGAGAGAGGGAGACACAGAATCTGAAGCTGCTCCAGGCTCTGAGCTGTCAGCACGAGCCCAACGCAGGGCTCAAACTCACAGACTGTGAGATCATGACTTGTGGTAAAGTTGGGTGCTTAACCAACTGAGCCACTAGGTGCCCCGATAAACAAACATCTTTTAAAAAAAGAAACTTGGGTGCCCAAATATTTCTTTGTAATCTGACTCACTTTTCAGACACCACCCCCTTTGACCCTCACACAAGACGGAGAAGCAGATACAGCTTTAGTCCTACTCAAATGGGGAAACTTGAGCTTAGAAGAAAACGTATTTTTCTACTTGAAGCGTGGATGCCGGGAGCTGAGTAATCGATCCATCACCTCTGGCTTAGCACATGCACACATGCATCCAGGTAATCGACGTCTTCTGTGATTTTTCTCTGCCCTGTGGTTCTCATTTCGTTTCTCCAGCTTCAAGGAGCAGCTCTGAAATCACAGTCCATGTGAATTTGTTCATGTTTGCAGAACTTTATTTTGCGTCTTGCAAATGTTAATGCTGTGGAAGTCATTCATCTTTCCACTGCACACTCCAGGTTTATGGACCACTCATATGTCTACAGCACAGTTACTTGCTTCAACACAGTAATCCCCACAGTGTCCTAATAAGGGACAGACACATTGTATCCAAATATCTCTGCTGTGAACAATGCTGAGCTAAATATCATTCTGCAGATGCCCCTATGGACACATGTGAGAATATCTTTAAATTATGTTTACATTTCCAACAGGAAATTGCCCAATCTTTTACTCACGGCCAAATGGCACTTCAGACTCACTGTACCAGTTCCTTCTCCCAGCAATACAAGAAGGTGCCCACACGCCCAAAACCTGAGGTGGCCCAGCCTTCTCATCTTTGCCAGTTTCTTTTCTCTAATGCCTAAAGAGGTTAAGCATCTCATCACCTGCTCACCTGAGCTTGGAGTTTCCCTTCTGTAAATTAAAATTCCAGCTTAAATTAAATTAAATTCCAGCTTAAAGAAGAACGTTTAAATGTATGCACCATCATACAGCTGGTGTTTGCCAAAGGAGAGTCTGAACCCAGGTGAGCTCATCTATTCCAGAGTCTAAATTCTCACCTGATAGCCCATCCCACCAAGTGTCAACCGTCCCTCCCTCCCCAGCATCATCCACATTGTTTCCTCCCCTCGGTTATTTCCATCAACGAACACACATGCTCGTACACTACTTCTCATACGCCTCACTCCAAACCATCTCTCCGGTTCTCACTACACCTGCTGTTAGCTTTCTACTTTACTTCCTTTTGTCAAAAGTTACTGAAAAAGTTATTGTTCATACCAGCTTCCAGGGCCTCTCCTTCTCATTCATATCTTTTTAAAAACTATGTCCTATTTATTTTAATTGCATAACTGAAAAAGAGAAATTCATCAAAACCAGGTGGAAACCATAAATCCCCCCTCCAAATGCCCTCTACACCATTCCCCTCCCCAGGAGGAACCCACCCATCCTGTGGCCAAATTGGTTGCAACTTGGTTCCCTCACAAAGAAGCTTCCTTATTCAGTTTCAGTACTTTGAAGGCTTCAACTCTCAGCGACACCTAGAACATTGTACCAAAATGCCATTAGGAATGTCCTCTGTGCCCAAACTGACTCTTATTTCTTGACTTCTCCTTGTATTTTATACCAATGAGCGCTCTTTAAACATTCCTAGACATTGTGTCTGCTCAGTGACCCAAAGCATCCTTACACCTGTTCCAGTGGGTCACCCCCTTTGCTTTCCAAGGGTCAGATCATGGGCTTGCCTCACTCAATAAATCATGAGTCCTTGAGACTAAAAACTATATCTTCATAATATATATATCCCCATCACAGATCCAAGGAAAGAGTTGACTTTTGTAAACATATCTTGAATAGGCAACTGAATGGGTAAATATACAAGGGACCAGGAATCTGTTGAGAGATATTTGATGGGGCCCAGAATTTCTTGATAGTTGACAAGTTGACTCCAGTCTTAAGTCCTTGGGGAGCTCCAAGGTGATGGCTGATGTTGAGGAGCATGAGTAGGACACCCCATGGAGCTGACCTTCTTTAAGGAGCACTGGAACACTGGAGTCTACACAGCCAGTCCTGGCTCTAAACTCAGGACAAGTTGAGGGTGGCGTACACACAGGCCTGGCCAGAGGAATCCTCATGGGTGTGGGAGAGTAGCGTGTCCATGTTCCCCCTAAGGGTTTCCTGGTGTAGCTGAGCATAGGTCACCTCCTGAGAGTCTTCCTCTATGGGGACCTGTCAGCATGGAGGTACAAAGTGAAAAGAGAGCACCTGTGGAAGGTTACTGGGGCCGGAGAGTAGGTAGGTAAGGAGAGACTCACCTGCATAGCCATCTGTCTGTCCTTCTCAGGCTGGATGTCCTCTAAGACATCATCTGCAAGGAAAGATGTGGGGGTAAGCCTCCAGAAAGAGCCTTAAAACTACCCAGTCCTATAATGTGTGTGTGTATGTGTGTGTGTATTTATTTATTTCAGAGATGGTTGACTGAAACAGGGAAGGGCAGTGATGTCGTGTCCAGTAAGGTGATGCCCCCACCTTGTCTGCTTCTTCCAAGTTGCCTTCTGTCTTCCCCAAACACATCCTTTCCCCCCCCCAGCTGTCCCTCCTTCTCACTCCCCCTTACTTTGGTTTTCTTCCTGGAAATCCATGACTGGGAAGGAGCTGAGAAAGAAAAGATAGAAGTATTAAGACAAGTCTGAGAAATAAGGCGGAAGGTTTTCTACTGGGGGAGTCCAAATTTTCCTACCTCTTATACTTCACCTGGTTCTCGGTCTCACAATCAATGTTCCCTAAGGAGAGTCAGTAATCAGAGTCTTGGTAGGGGATCCACCAAGCCCTCTCAGGTTAACCCTCCCACCATCAGGACATACCGTGTTTGACCCGATGCCAACATTGGTAAAAGAGAAAGAGAAGGAAGAGAAGAAGTAAGACAACGATGGCCAAGATCCCAGTCACAATGGGAAGGTGTCCATTTCCAGGAGCAGGTGGATCTAGGAATTAGGAAACAGTAAAGGTCTGTTTTTGAGCTCTTGCTGGATTAATTTATCCATTTAATAAACATTTAACGTTTGCCTTCCCTACATGAGGCAAGTTATTGGATGTTTGGGAAACCATAGTAAACACGCCCATCAATAGAATCTATGGTCTAGAAGTATTTTTACACATAGAGATAAATTATAGGGCAAAACCATTTATGCCGAATTATATTTTTAAATAAAAGGGTTTCTTTGGGGATAAGCCCTGAAAGATAAGAAACACCTAGATCTCTGAAGTGCAGGGAGAATTGCCTCTAGACAGAGGGAACAGTGTAACATAACTCAACTCAGAGGTGAGAAAGAGCCCACACACAGAAGGACGGGAAGAGTGGCTCAGAAGAGTCTGGGTTTAGGTCTAAATGTAATAGTGAAACACAAAGGGGTTGACAAGCATAGAGCTATGTATTTTTTAAATACTGCATTTTCTGTGTGACACATGGATTTAAGGAGCCAGGTGGAAAGATAAGGCATCAGGGAATGTGCTGCAGGGTGTGGCTGTGTTTTAACAATGGGGTGGTGGGAGAAAGAAGGAAATGGACTTGAGGAGTTTTCGAGGATAGAAATGACGACAGTTGAGGTTTGGTGATGGAGTATGTGGGCACTGGGAGCAGAAGAGGAGCATCAAATATTCTTGGTGACCTGATCATTGGAGAGGATGAATGGACCTTACTGTGATAGGAAGACCAGTATAAGGAGGAGATTTTGAGATTTATTGATTAAGAGCCTTCCTGAGATGCTTAATAGGTATCTGAATAGATGTACAATAATCCATGGATATGAAACCCAGAGGAGCATTTTTGATGGGAGTGATAAGTTAGCAGCCATCAGCAGATACTGAACAACTAAAATGTATTATTTTTATTCTACACAGCACCCTGCCTGCAGGCTGGTCATGCACAAACTTCTCCAGTCACCACTACCCCCTTCTCTACTCTATCCCTGCCATTTGTTTCTCAGGTCCCTGCCTCCTTGTGTCCATCTGTCCATCCCTAAGTCATGCACCCTCCCACAACTAACCTATAGTTCCCAGAAGGCACCAGGCATGCTTGTCTCACACCTGTGTGTCTATCCCCTCTGCTCCCCATGCTTGGATGTGATCCCCTCCCCTGAAACCCTGAAAAGTGTCAGCCAGCCAGGAAAGTTATGGCTTACAGAACTCCACCCCCATCCACCAAGATAGCTGAGCTGCCCCTGTCTGCAGCGCCCACAGTAGGATCTTGATCATAAACCCATCTCGGACATTCTTCTGTAAATTTTCTGCATTCTCCATTGTGTTGGTGGCTGATGAGAGACACTCCTGTGGTCCCAGAATCTTTTTTGGATGATGCAGGGCTTATGAAAATAGTCTTGAATGAAGAAACCAGTATGGCCCTTCCTTTCCCTTTTCTGTCACTATCACCTCGTGATGATACTCAGTCACCCACTCACCGGCGGATGCAACTGCCTGAGGAAATGATCAAGGAGGGTGTAAAGGATGACCACGTGCCCACACACCCACCACTCACTCTGCTTCTCAAGAACCACCACCCCAGATCACAGAGCACTTTCGTGTAGATGCTTAAAGACCTTTCTTCCCAAGGAAAATCTGCCTATATCTATGCCAAGTTGTCCTAATAAATACTCAGTTTCAGGGTCTCTACATTGAATGGAGTGATCTTAGCAGGGGTCCTCTTATACAGTGCACAGGAAACCCCTTTTCCTCATCCCCAGGAGGTGAGAGGCAACTTCTACCAACTCCACTTTGACCTCAGTCTGTACTTTCCGATTGAGTACGTTCTTCTTTCCAGCTTATCTTATTCAGGCAACGTGGGAGAGATTCCCCACCCCAGACATCACAAGGGACATCCTTGAGCAGAGCGCAGAGGGCTAACAGTCCAGCCTCTTTCCTCACCTGTAACCAAAAGCTTAACAGGGTTGCTAGGCAGTGACCAGCTGTGAGGGTAGATTTTAGAAGAACCATAGCATCTATAGATACCCCCATGGGCAAGGGTCACAGGAGAGATCAGGAAGGTGTTACGGTCCTGACGTAAAAAATCCTGAGGAGAGACATTCCTTCCATCTTTAGTCAAATTAAAGATTTCATAGTACGGAGATGTTTCACAAAGGAGTGTCACGTTCTCTCCTGAGGTCACATTGGGGTCTGGAAGAGCAGTCAGGGAGGGTGTGTCCTTGTATACGCCTGGAAGAGAAAAGAGCCTCTTAACATTATCAGGGAACCACACACAACACCACCATTCTCTTGTTGGACCTAAAAGAAAGAAGGGAGAAGGTAGGTTGAAATTCAACAATTGTTCCTCTACAGGGATTATGAGGACAAGACAAACACTTTTCCATTTTCCCACAACCAGAGACCAGGCAGTGGCCATATATATGGAGGGGGAGCTTAGTATCTGTCCCCATGACGACAGTCCCCTGGGGACTCCAGCCACCTTCCTGAAGAGATATGGGACCACAGTCAGAACACAGAGATTTAGACCCAGATGGATACGGTGGGAGGGCAGAGACAGAGGGCAGGGGTCCTATGATAGGGACACGTCGGGTCTAGGGTGGTGGGCAGCAGAGATAGGAGCTAAGGATGTGCCCTTGGGGGTGTCTCTTACCTGTCACCACCAGATCCAATGGGTCACTGCGTCCTGACCAGACTCCTTGCTTCCAGTATATACAGTAGTAAATTCCTGCATTGATGTATGTCACAGACTGGATGAAAAACGTGGAAACTCCCTGGGATCCATCTGAGGTTCTGTCGTACCGTGAGATGAAAGTTCCTATTCTAAGTAGCTGCCATCTGACTACTCCTGGAGGTCCCCTGCAGCGGATGGTCACAGAACTGCCCTGGGGAATCACAGCCCCGGGCAGTGCCCAGATGGAGGGCTGGGGTAATAATCCTGGAAGACAAACGGGACACGAACCCCAAACATGCTGATGTCAGGAAACACCTTTTCTCCATCCCCAGGAGGCGAGAGACAAGTTCTATCAACTCCAGTTTGACCTCAGTCTGTACTTTCTAATTGATTTAAGTTCTTCTTTCTGGCTTATCTCTTAACTGAGGCAAAAGGTCTGGTGGGCAAAGCATCCCATGAAGGAAACAAAAACTATCTCCTCAAGCAATAAAGACCCTGTATGACTGACCCCAAGGCAGTGATCAACCTGGCCTTTACTGCCCAGCTGCATGGCCCCACCAACCTCTGCCCCCACTTTCCTTATATAAACCTGGAAGTTTCTCAGTGCCCTGCAGACAGTCTGTGACATGTTAGTCTACTGTCTTCTCAGGGTTGGCCTCCCTGAGATAAATCCCTGTCCACCACTGCTTATGTCTCTGCCTTTGGAGTCTGTCAGTGGTGAGTGGCTGAACCTGGTCTTTTAGGGACCCCCGGAGCCAATATTTGAAAGCCTTGCCTGCTGAAGGTGATTTGTCTCCCAGGACCCCACACTCTTGATTTCTGTCCTACACACAGTTCTCAGTCTGGTTTGCTGTTTCTCATCATCTCCAAGCCACTAAACTTTGGGATGCCTGTGGGCTTGGTCCTTCAATCTGTTTTTCCTTCCTGTATGTACTCACTCCTGGGTTGTCCCAACATGGCTTTCTGTCATCGGTCTATACATAGACATCTATATATCCATAGATACTCGTGTACTATTCCTGTGTGTCTCACACACACAATATAACCACTCACCAGAACTCTAGACTGATTTATCCAACTGTGAACTTCTCATGTACACTGGGAATTTTCAACTAGTTGTATCCAAATTAGAGTTCCTGATATATCCCCCAAAGATCCAATCCAACTTAGTCTTCCCCATCAATTTAAGAATAACTGGCATTCCTTGGCATCATTGCTGACTGGTTTCTCGCCACTGCTGGTGTCCTATTTGGAAATGAACGCTGTGGGTCTATGTTCTTACCACCTGCTGTTACCACCCCTGGGGTTGAGAAACCATTATCTCTCATCAGATCACTGCATTTACTTTGTCCCCTTCTTCTACAAAACTCCCCAACTGCCCCCCATGCCCTCGTGCAAACACCAAAGACTGTGATCCTGTTTAATAAGTCCCATTAACTCAGTTCTCCACTCACAGCCCCAATAGCCCCATCTCGTTCTGAGTAACCTCTTGCCCTGCTCTACCAAGCTCTTGGCTCCCTGATCTCACCCCCCGACACACACACACACACACACACACACACACACACACACACACACACACAATATTCTCACTTGCTGCCCATCCTCCAGACCCACTGGCCTGCATCTAGATGACCAGCCTAGTTAGTTCCACATCAGCACAACCACATCAGCATTTGTTTCCTGCATGTAAGGGTGTTCTCCCTGATAGCTTCTGCCTCCCTTCCCCGCTCCAGACTTTACTGTAGTGTCCACATGGGAATGCCTTCCTCCAATGCACCTCTCCCCAAACACACACTTTCTGGGCCCCCCTTCATTCTTCATGTTTCTCTTTAGCATTAAACACCTCACATGTTATAGATCTTGGTTATCTATTTTATTAACATTATTTCCCTTCAATTGGAGGGCAAAGACATTTTTGGGCATTCAAAGCCCTTTCCTCTGACACAAAGTACAATGTGGAGGTCACACCAAAGGCTCAGTATATCCGCAATATGAAGGAATTAACTTACCTCTTGGAGGAGTTCTAAGATTAAAATAATGTATGCAAAAGCTGAGAACGACATTCAGCAGGGGCAAAACCCCAATAAATTTTATGTGGCCATTGTTAATTTTACACAATGGTACCTCATCTGAGGCTGTTTTCTGAACTTGGCATGCCTTGTATCTTAACTGGTGCCACGCTCTGTCATTATTTCATGTTACAAAGGAGGAGGAGGAACTCAGGGCTCAAGTACAGGAAATTACTTGCAAAAAGTCACAGGACTACCGAACGTTGCGGTCTTCATTCTGCTTCAGGTCTGTCTTCTGAGCAAGGGTGCCATCCTTGTGAGCTGACCCCTCCTTAGGGAAGGGACCTGGAAGCAGCTGAGGGGTTGCCCAATGGAAAAGGACACCCAACACACCCAGTAGGCGACAGCCTCCGATCCACTGGGGACGTGAGGCAAGCTCCCCAGCTCTCTGCGTCTGCCTTCTAAGTGCCAGCCTTGGCTGTGTTTCCTCTCAGCGTTATTAAAGGACCTGGAGGTCCCCTTCTTGACTCACCCGTGCTGATAGGGAAGAGTCAGGCATCTGGAAGCTTTCTGGAGAAGGAAAAAGACTTTCCACCAAAAATGGGTGTGATGATGCGAATTTAAAAATTAGAACTGAAGAGGGTTAGTGAGGGGATGACACAGGTTGAAAGTTGGGACTCAACCAAAGCTGCCTAAGCTCAGCCCATGTCAGAACTGCTTAGGAGGAAACACTCACCATTTTTTGCCCAAATCCTTTGTTCCAGACAAAACACTGAAACAAAGAGAGACCTGGTGAGAGAGGTCTACCCTAGAAACCAGTGATCCCCAAACACCTGATACTGGACACCAGACCTGCGTTCAATAGGAGAATGGTGACCCTACAGGTGATCTCTCTATAACCAACTGGCCCAGGACCTCCCAGAGAAGAATCCCACGGAAGGGACCTCCGTGTCTCCATTCTCTTCCCCTGCCACCTCCCGCACAGCCCCCTTTGCAACACTCACCAAGTCCCAGCAGAAAAGTGAACCCCAGGGACATAGCACTGGACCCACAGTGTTCTCAGCAGGACACACCCACGGGTGGAGCAGCCTAGGGCTTTGAGCCTTCACACAGCATAATGTGCACCTGCTAAACACAAAGAGCAACTCTGCTTTTGCAAGACATGGCTCTGCCTTTTGACCCTCCACCGGAACACTGGACTCAGGCAGGAGCTGCTCTGTGGGTTTCCTGCTGTAATCTCACAACCGCAAAGACATTGGAGATGTGCGTAATGCTCCTAACAGTGACCCGTATTTCGGCTACAGGACGTTGAAGAAGGTTTAACAAAAAAACAGAAGTGAGATGCAGTGAAAGAAGACTGAATCTAATATGTGGAAATCAGTGAAACTGTTATGGTTGGAGCCACAGACCTAAATCAGTCTTGAAAATTTGGTGGAGGGTAATGTAGAGCCAGGGAGTATGTCTGGGAGACTTGTGAACGTGGCTTCTCTGTAGTGATCGTGTGTGTGAAAAGTCATGGAGTCAACTAAGTCATGGAGAAAATCTTTCCTGAATTACTGCACCTAAGAATGATGTCCTGACCAAAAAATCTCTGAGGGGGGCAATCATCCCAGTTCACTTGAAAGGACTATTTTAATTTGCTTGGAATGGTCAATGACCTTCTTCTAATCTGAGAAATATGTAAATTCTTAGGCATTCGATATCTTATACAGCCTTTTTTATATATTTTTTAATATTTATTTATTTTAAGAGAGAGAGAGCACAAGCAGGGGAGGGGAAGAAAGAGGGGGAGACACAGAATCCGAAGCAGGCTCCAGGCTCTGAGCTGCCAGCACAGAGCCAGATGCGGGGCTTGAACTCACGAACCGTGAGATCATGACCTGAGCTTAGTCATGATCAGACGCTTAACTGACTGGGCCACCCAGGCGGCCTGGCCTTTTTTTATATAAAAGGGAAAGTATATGTCTTTACTTCTCTTAAGATGTTTTTAATAGCAAGATGATTTCGTATAATAATCTGGTTTGGGGCACCTGGATGGCTCAGTTGGTTGAGCTTCTGACTCTTGATTTCAGCTCAGGTCATGATCCCAGGATTGTGGGATTGAGTCCCACATCAGGCTCTGTGCTAGGCATGGAACCTGCTTGGAACTCTCTCTCTCCCTCTCCCTCTCCCTCTCCCTCTTTCTCCCTCTCCCTCTGCCTCTCTCCCCTGCTCGCACACACTGTCTCTCTACAGTTTATTTTTGTGTCTGTAATTCAAAATGTGTGAATGATTGGGGCACCTGGGTGGCTCAGTTGGTTAAGCCTCTGATTTCTGCTCAGGTCATGATCTCACGGTTCTTGGGTTCAAGCCCCATGTCGGGCTCTGTGCTGACAGCTCAGAGCCTGGAGCCTGCTTCCGATTCTGTGTCTCCCTCCTCTCTGCCCCTCCCCTGCTCACGCTCTGTCTCTCTCTCTCTCAAAAATAAATAAACATTTAATTAAATAAAACTTAAGTTAAATTGAAATAAAATTAATTAATTTAAATAAAACTTAAAAAAAAGTTTAAGATTCCTACTACAACCTCATGAAGTGCATGATCACAACTAGTCTTGCCTTTCAACAAAGCAATAGAGGTTAAAATTTACAAAACAACTCTTTCAGGCATTGGGTAACATGCAATGTTGGATGATGATGCCCAAAAGACGGAAACAAACAAGATTGGCCACATAATTGCTCACGTTCTTTGCTTATACTTGATCTTAGCCAAAAGCCCGAGAAGCGATGTCGTTCTGTGCTTATAAGCATAGGGTACAGTGATATCCCTGAGTCATAAAGCTGCTGCCACAATGGAGTAGGATCAAGTGGACTGAGGGAAGCATGACCCAGCCCCAGGAGGCAGAGCACATGTGAAGGTCAATGTGGATATTATGGACGGTGGTGAGATGGTAGCCTTTATTCATGGCTACCACACGTGGCCATGTGGCATTATTGAAGAAAATGCCCAGGCAGTGTGATGAATCAAGACTGCAAAGGGGAGGGCCAGTGACCTTGTATCATTTCCTTTGCCCTTGTGGATAAGATATCCAGAAATCACTAGTAAATCAACTATTGTTAGAGAAACACAGGCTGGATCTAACATTGGTGTCATCATCTGACAAGGAGAGGTAGGGCTGATGGAAGGGGTGTGGTACCTACCCCAGGTTGATGGGGATAAGAGGAGTGTGGTCATGAAAAGGAGGGATGCCAGGGGATGTTGAGGGATCGGGAGCTGAGGAGGGACAACAGGCCTATGGAGAAACATCCGCAAAGAAAAAGGATTCAGGAATGACACTGAGGCAGAAGTCAGATGTCACATCGAGCCGTAGAAAGAGAAAGAAAGAGAATATGATCTGGGATTTGGGAAGTGTCTCCTTCTGGCACAATTGCTGGGACTCTACACCATTCCGTGGCATGCAGAGTTCATGGAGCCCAAGTCCTTTGAGAATCTCTAGATTCCCTCATTCTGATGAGGTGCTATGAAGAGTTACTGCTCAGCCTGGGGGCTCCCTAACTGCACCTTGCAGACCTTGTCTGCTCTTCCGGGCTCCCAGCAGTAGAAGCCCCATAGCTAAGAGGAGCAGGCCACCAAGGCTAAACTGGATGATGTTCTGTGTTGTGTAATCTGGGATGTTCTCTTTTCCGTAATCTCGGGGTAACGATTCTGTGGGAAAAAGAAAGAATTTAATATGGGACCAACAGCATATCCCCTCAACCCCAACAATACAAAGATCACACATAAACGACACATCATCCAAATTCAGATAGGCTCAGTCAGACCCCTCTTATGACCTGAAAGTCTCTTTTTTTCACTCTGATCAAATGTGAGGCTGCTGGTGGTTCCCTGAACAAGAGTGTCTGGGTTAAGGCATAAATAGTAAAACTCAAACCACAATCTGTCTTCTCCCCAAGTCAAGAGTGCTGACGTGGGGTGGTGGTCACACAGAGGATGTAAAACGCAATGCAGCATTTGTTCAGGATCCTAACAAAGACATGGCACCTGCCTGCTGACCCTGACCTCAGTGCCATGATGAGGGGCATGGCCAAGAGAGGGGGAGGCAAAGGGAAAGGTGGGGTCATCAGAGCCTGAGACGTTCTCCACTTCCCTGCTATGAGCTCAACTTCTGGTCACATGACCCTGGGAAGCCCACGAAAGCCTCAGAATGGTAGAGACGTACAAAGAGTTGCTAAACATTACTATCCATAAATGTCTAGGATCACAGGGCTATGAGCAGCTGTCTGTGTTCTCTCAGAAGCGGTAGGAACATGTGGCTCAAGGTCACATGGTTTAGGAGACACTCAACCAGGGACAGCATAGAAGGGGAGCCTGGCCACCTAACTGGTAGAGAGAAATTCATCAAACTTCAGCTCCAACCACAATAATGCCACATTCAATCTGAGACCAGAGACACCCCTCCCACCCCCCCGGCCCAGTGGAAAGGGGAGAGGTGATTACAGTGTCCCAGGGAGGAAGGATATTGAGGCTAACGTGGCATAGGATGGAATTGTTCTGCATGTCCCAGTCCCGCAGGGTACAAGGGGTTTGGAAACTGAAGGTCCACCTTCCAACCCCATTCGTTCAAGATGTGTTTCTACCTCTACTCTCAGTATACTTTCCATATAGCCAGAGGTGGTGTGAAAATGCGATGAGATTCTACTCTCCATTGGGCATCAGGGAAAGAACTTGAAAGCTGGAGACTTTGGGGTTCCATTCTGAGAGGTGGAAAGGGGAGAAAGACTGGCAAAAAGAACATTCTAGACTAAGGGCAAAAGCAGAGGGAGTGTAGCTGGAAAGAAGCGGGTGAAGTGGAAATTGAAGCAGGGGTCAGAACAAACTGGAACTGGAGTCTGTAGAAATAGCTGAATTGTTCACTCAAAGTGCCAAAAAAATAAGGTTTTGAAGCGCTTGCATAGGCTCATGGTGCAATGGAATGGGTTTTGAAAGGATGGCTTCAAGTGCGGTGAGGAGGGATCACGGCATCGGGCAGTGGTGGAAGATGAAGACACGTAGGGGGGATGTAACTGGAACCCAGTGATATATGAAGGTACCTGAGAACACCTGAGGGTGTGGAGAAAAATCTGCAAACTCATCATCACTTTCCAAAGTAGAAACAACAGAAAGTGTTCACCCATTAGGTGTGGATTTTATGGGAAAGAAAGGGGAATCGAGATTGGCACAAAAATAATTCCATTGGAAAGAAAGGGAAGACGAAGATGTCACTGCTGGAGAAGTGGTCTGAGGGCAGGGTTTTTAGTCACAGGTTGTGCTGATCAAGAGCGCTTTGCAGAAATGGAATCTTTGATATTGTTCGGTGCGATTCAACCAACATGGAAGACTGCTGACGTAAGACGCACCATTGTTTTACAAGGAGGTGAAAAGAACGGAGTCAGCCGGTCAGACTATAGTCACGTCCTAACTTTAGAGGCAACAGATGTGGAAGACATGCATTTCAGGATATAAATGTGAAACTATATGCTCCCTATATTACGTATATTATATATGCTAAATACAAAATATAATATATAACTGTATATTACTATATAACATATATTACTATATAACACATAATGTATATGCTAAATACAAAATATGATAATATATAATGTGAGTTATATATATATTTTTTAATTTTTTTTCAACGTTTATTTATTTTTTGGGGGACAGAGAGAGACAGAGCATGAACGGGGGAGGGGCAGAGAGAGAGGGAGACACAGAATCGGAAACAGGCTCCAGGCTCTGAGCCATCAGCCCAGAGCCCGACGCAGGGCTCGAACTCACGGACCGCGAGATCGTGACCTGGCTGAAGTCAGACACTTAACTGACTGCGCCACCCAGGCGCCCCCATGAGTTATATTTTATATATACTTTGTGTTGGACATAATCTAGTACGTGTATGTGTGTGTGTGTGTGTGTGTGTGTGTGTGTATAAATAAAGTCACATGCTATTCAGGAGGGGCTTTCTGGGCTTCATAAATATAATGAACATTCATCAGCAGATGCTGGAAGTCTTGCACATTTAACTTTCCGTATTCCCAGCGTCCTTGCCAGTCTTCTGAGTGTATTCACCAATTTGAGTCGGTGCCCTGCTGTGTCCCCTCCTCATCCCAGCCTCAGCCTGCTGCCTCCTCTCATATTCCCCCCCGACTCTGATCACCT